CTGATTCAAGGGCCACCTCTTCCAGGAAGTCTTGTCTTATTCCTCTGGCAGCAATTACTCTTCAAATGTGATCCCATACTGATAGGTTTGAACATTATTATAGTCCTGAGAGCCCTCACTGAATCCTGTCCTGCACACATCTGTCTCCCTACATAACTCCTAGATCTTAAAGGCCACAAGCTCTCCCTTCATCGTTGTTGTCCCTCCCCATACTGCCAAGCAAAGAGACTTGCTCACTGTAAGCATCAGTGAATGTGTGTTGTGTTGAGCTGAATTGCCTCTCTCAATCCCAATGAAAAATCAAGGAGAAAGCAGCAGGACTAAGGAAATAAGTAATCACGGATTGATCAACGTTTTTCTCTCTCCATTCCCTCCTCTAACCCAGCCGTGGCCTGGCCAGTCCTTCCCCAACCTGGCCTGCTGAGAAGCCTCCTAAGAACACAGCCTCCTCAGTCTCCCTCCAGGGGGCGCTCAGATGGATCACAGTTCAGGAGGGTGGCAGCGGAGCCCAGAGACAAGGAGGGATGGATCAAACCACACAGTGTCTGGCAGCAGTGCTGGGGAACCCTGGCAAGGACAGTGACCTGTGCCTTGCAGTAGGAGGGAGACCCCATTCCTGGCATGTCAGGCTAGAGCGGGCCGGTAGAGATGTGTAGTAAGGTTGGGGCACGGTGCCACCCAAGGGCTCCTGAAATGGTAACCCCATACAGATCACTCTCAGATCCTCATGGAAGCTGTTCCATATCTCAAGGCTCCAAGCTGGGACATTTCTGAGAGAACTCCAGAGGTTCCACATGTGTGGGCTTCATGCCCAGGGCCTGACTTTAAGTGCAGAAAGCCTCACTCATGAAGTGAGCACCCCTGGAACAGGTGGGAGTGAGTCAGGACCATTACCCCTCTTCAGACTACAGGCCTAGTTTGGTACAGTGAAGCTCCCCATGCATTATCCCCTTGGTGAACTCCCACAAGTCAACAGGTTGCAATCCCTCTGAGCTGAGTACAGTTCTAGAACCCTCTCTTTCCCATGCTGTCACAGGCAGGCAGCGGCAGCTGCTTTAGAATAAACTTTTTGGACATAAGTTTCAGCAGAGTATAGTCAGAAGAGAAATCAAACTCAGAAGATGCTTCAGACCTACAGTTTTGTCTCATTCATATCAAAACGTCCAAGCTAAGAAAATCAGCCTGGAAGCAGATATTAATTTTAGTAAAAAGATAGATTATGGCCCTGACTAGTACTGGATCGGACCTGTACAAATCCAAAAGCCCTCCAGTCCCCAAGTTTTCCCAGAAAATAAGGGCTGTTTTCCTCCTGGGTTTTAGGGCATTGAACCAGCGAAGTGCAGGCGGAAATGTCCTCTTCCAGCTGTGAGGACCCTCTTCCAGCTCCCTAAAGGACAAGAAGAGCCATTTCGGTCTAGCTCAGCGTCATTCCTTACATTATCAGTCACAAGCCATGTTTCTGCCAGGGCACAAGTGCAGCTGGCTGGAAGTACCCAGGAGGTCTTCTGGACTGGGGTGCACTCACTCATCAAGGTTCCTGCTGGATACCTCCCTAGGGAACTTTCCAGAGAGCTCTCACACACACTCACACACACACTCACACTTACACACAATCCTCATTCATACACACTTTATGCACACACTCACATACACTCTCACACTGACACTCACGAACACACTCATACCCACTCACACACACATACACTCACACACTTACACACACACACACTCACACACAACTTACACACAATCCTCATTCATACACTTTATGCACACACACATACACTCACACTCTCACACTGACACACACTCATGAACACACTCATACCCACTCACACACATACACACTCATTCACACGCTCACACACATACACTCGCACACACATCTACACAAGCATGCGCACACACATTCCACACGCTCATACACATACACTCACCCGCTCACATTCACTCATGCACGCTCACACACACACATCCTCACATATACACACTTTCCCAGACACAAGTATTCTCCGGCACACACACAGTCTCACACGCACACACATTCACTCACACACACACCCACTCTTGTACATACACAAACAACACAGACACTCTCACACTAACACATTCTCACCCTCACACACACTCTCATACTGGCTCACTCACACTCAGGCCTGCAGGCCCCTGGTCTCCAGAGCAGAGGCAGGATCAGGAGGAGAGCCCTACGGGGCTGGAGGCCATCAGCAGTCTCACAGTGCAGCCTGCTGGGCACGAATGATGCTGCAGCCGGGTGGAGGCAGGGGCCAGGGGTGCAGGGAAGGGCATCTTGCTTCCCCTCTGTCAACTTTCAACATCCAGGAATGGTGTCTCAAACCCCAAGACTCAAAATGAGGCCTGAAGGCCTGCGGAAGGGGAAGGAGAGCTAGTCCCGGGGCCTTCCACGTACAAACAGGTCTCCCGCCCCATGAGCTCTCAATGGCTCACACAGAGGTTTTAGAATCTTCCAAACAATTGGCACAGAGGAGGAGCACCAGGGCTCCAGAGGAGGAACAGAAGCTTGGCGCTAAAAATGAGGAGCTGAATACCCAAAGAAATGGGTGGGAAAGACCTTGGCCAGGCCTGTGCATGAATTATCATGTTCCTCCCGTGCCAAGATTCCCCTGCTCCGTCACTCTTCCAGCACAGACCATATGAGGGCAACTTCTCTGTGAGGCACACAGAGGGTGCCATGCACGGTAGTAACTAGTCATGGAGCAAAACTGCCATGGTGTGGGGCCTGGGATGGCTCAAGAAGGGAGCCACAGGCTGGACTCTGCAGGCAGGTGGGCCCCGACAGGAGGTGGCAGGAACAATGGAGAGGAAGTGGCAAAAGAAAGAAATGGTGCCAAAGAAGAATCCCCAAGACTCAGAGTTAGATTGGGAAGTGGGAAGTGAGAGTGAGGCCAGTCAGGGATTACTGAGGTCTCAGATTGTGTCATCATGAAGAGGAGGAAGGAGAGGACTTGGACAGAATCGGGGAAAGCAAGTTAGGACCATTTGGTAAAGGAGGATAAATTGAGGATTTTGGTGTGGAGCTCACCGAGTGTCAATAGCTGCTCCCTGCACGCTCCAGCCCACATTTCTCTCTACAAGTTTTCCAGGTACTTGCCCACCTCTGCTCCTAGCGTCCCCCACCACCATCCCTTCCATCACTTCTCTTTCCAGCAGTTTCTTGAGGTCAGAGAGTTCCTTATGCCACTGGGATGACAACCACTACCACCATCTGCCTTGGCTCCCCACACACATGCTGCTCAGCGTCCCTTCTCCTGAGGTTCCTTCCTCCTCTCCCTCCTGACCAAGCCTTGGCCTTGCCCAGGGGCCGTGGGAGTGTTCCGGGCCTTCTGATCTGTGAGGAGCTGTAGACAGCCTCCAGCCCTGCTCCAGCACACTATGCCCTGTCTAGACAGATTTGAGCTCTCCATCCTCAGGAAGCGCCAGGCCCCAGAGCAGGGCTCCCCTCCAAAGGCAATACTTCCCCTGCAGGTGAGGCTGCCTTGGTGGCCAAAACTGAGTGCATGAATTTTTATTTTTTAATCATACTTTTAAAAAAACGAATGAGTAGTTGGAGAAAACAGGCGACAGAGTGGGTGGCCACTTGAGATCCAGAGAGAAAGATCAAAGCCCACCAAGAATGGAATGATCAGCCTTGGTGTGGCCCAGAGAACAGTCTAGGTGGCCCATGCCACATGAAAGGCAGCCAGGGGACGGGAGACGGGGTGAAGGAGCCTCGGTCACAGGCCCAGCATGTCCCTGCTCCCCCATCCAAGACCTTGGTTCATAGTCCTCAGCTGGAACAAACACCTGCTTCCAAGAGACATCCAACCAAGCTCTGTCCGCTGGGAGGGCCGCTGCATCTCTGTGTAGGAGGTGAGCTGCCCAAACTCTGGCCTCCATAAGGCTTTCTCTTTCCAAGAAGAAGCTGGAATTCCTCCCTCTAGACTCGATTCTCCTGGCTGCTGCCTCTCTCACAATCCCAGCCCAGGGCAGCCAGCCAGGAACATGCTCTATTCTCGGACTGACTAATTAGCTCATTAGGTGACTGCAGGGCAGTGAGTCCACCATGTTCACCATGGCGCAGCCTCCTCCTGCAGGCTCCAGCGGACCATCTTTTCCAAATGAGCACATTCTCCCATGTGAACCCACAGATCCCTCAGCTTAGCCTCCCAAGTTAGGACAACCAGGACCCTGAAGATCAAAGAGGAATTGGGACTTGCCCAAAGAAATGGTAGCACTTAGTGGCCAGGCCCAGACCAGAACTCCCGTCTCCAAACTTTCAGCCCAGTGCTTTCACACAGTGCTGCAGCCCAACATTCCAGTCAGAAGACTGAGTTTCTAGAGCCCTGAACCCATTATAAAGTAGTCAGACCTATGGCATTCCAGCAAGTTCTTTCAAAGGACTTTTCACTCATGTTCAACAGAAGCTGGGGAAATGTCCAAGATGCCAGAAAACAGGACATCATTCTGTGACAACAAGGAAGGGAAGAATCCCAGGGCCCAGTCTCTCCTCCCTTCTAATTTGGAAAAGCCATAAGAAGTCCACATTCTGTCAGGCCAGCCAGCATACTCCCAATGTGATTTGCCAAATCCACCCTTTCCTGGGTCAACACTGGCACTTGGGCATAACCCAAGAATCAGCTTCATCCAGGTTCTTCTCTAGACAAGACTAAGGAAAAGAAATGAGACAGCTCCATGCACCCCTCCCAAAGAACAGGCAGGAACAGAGACCACAGTGTTGAAGACCTCAAGGTGGAGGTCATGGTCTATCAATCTACAGGATCTTTTGTGCCACACAGATTCCATGTCCTTCCCGTGTCCCCAGCTGCTTCCCCACCCATGGGACACAGATGAGGGGACCATAGAAGCTAGAAAAGAAGATCCCTCCACGTGAGCAAAAGACTGCCAGAGTCAAAATGTTTATGATACATCTTTCAGGACTTGCATCTCCAGGATCCTTTCAAAAGTTCCCTACCACCTCTTACCTGATGAGGTCAATAGGTTGGAACTTATAGAACACTCCATAGCGCGCCCATTCTTGATACAGCAGCTAAACAAAGAAAATAAGGAAACAGGTTAGAGGTAGAGGTGGGAAACTTCACCTGATTTTCTCCATCCTAACAAGTCAGAATTTTACCCCCAAAGCCCAGCTTCTAAGAAATTCTCATGAGACATCCACGGGGAGATGTCCAGAATCAGGAGGCTACAGAAACTGGCTTCTCCTTCCCCAAACAATAGAGGTGAACTTTATCACACTCTGCGGCAGTCCTGCACCTGATGAGCAGAACCCCATCTTCTTTATTCCCATGTCTTGCCTAGTCCAGCAAAACAAGCCCTGATGGTCGTGATTCACTCATTTAACAAGTATTTAGTGACATCTCCTTATGTGCCAGGCACTGTCCCCACACTGGATACAGCAGTAAGCCACAGTCTGCTTACACCCTGGTGTGGAGAGACAAATATAAACATATAAACAGATAAGATTTGGAAATCTTAATGAAGAAAAATTAATCAAGGTCAGGGAGTAGAATGTGAAGGAAGGGAGAGGAGTGGGGTGCTATTGTAGACAGGATGGCCAGGGAAGGCCTCTCTGAGGAGGTGACCTTGAGCTGAGACACAAAGGAAGGGGGCAGGGTGTCCCAGGCTGGACACTCTTCTTGTGCAAATGCCCCAAGGCAAGTGCATATGGCATGTTCCAGGAAGAACAGGGAACCGGTGTGGCTGGGGCAGAGTGAGCATGGGGAGAACTTGGGAGACAAAGTCAGAAAGAACCAGGATGGCCAGATCACTTGGGGATTTGCAGGCCATGCTAAAATCTTTGTATCAACACTGGATGAAATTTGGATTTTGAAGGAAGCCACTGGGAGATTTGCAGTAGAGAGGCAAAACAATCTGAGATTGCAGAAGGCTCACTCCAGCTTGCAAGGCCCCAGAAGGGACCAGCAGGCAGGGTGAAGAGAGGCACACTCTGGAGTCCTGCCCCGTAAGGACCAGTATGGTGTGAGTAAAGCACAGACACGTCACAGGCCCTTTAAACTTGCAGAGTCTAGAGCCTTCTAATGCAACTCTTAGTGAATCCCCTTTCTCCCTTAGAGGTTCACCATGTCCTCTCTTTCCCAACTGGCAAAGCCAGCAAATACACCAGGGAGGGATTACTGCTCCTTCTTAATGGACAGTGCCTGATTCCAGAGCCCTGGACGTAACCCCAGATGTGTCTGTCTGCCCCAAGCATTTACAGCAGGAACGATGGATGAGAGCATAGAAGCAGGAAGTTTGGCTCCCCAGGGATCACATTTGACAGAGGTCATCAATTTAAGGATTTCATGAGACTATAAAGGAACTCAAGTGTTAAAAACTCTTTGCAACAACTCTTTGTAATGCCAGAGAACATCAAGGTGTTTGGGACTCATGGCCCTCTCTGAGGCCACAAGCTCCTCAGACAGCAGCTAGACCTGAGACAGGCAGAAAGATGCTGTAGCCATCTCGGAGGCATTTAAGGGACAGCGGCAGCCTGAATGGAAGAGACTTGGATTCTACTCCCAGATGCTACGCTAACCTGTTTGAACATTTTAGTAAGTAACTCCACCTCTCCAGGTCTCAGCTTCTCCATACAGTAACATGAAAGTCGTGCAGCACGGCAAAATGAATCCCCAGTTGAAACCAAGAAGAAAAGTGCCTTTCTTGTCAGGAAGGTAAATTTTAAAATGCAGGACTGACTCTCTCTCCACAGTTTTCAGTGGGTCACTTACTAACTATCCACTAGGGAAGACAGCCACCTGCAAAGGCTAGAAAATCCAGGACTAAGGGTTTCTAGAATGCTAAAGGAAGTCACATCCAAAGTTCTGCTTTGAGTTCTCCCCTGTAAGTGGAAGAAGAAGCCGCAGAGAGTCAGTGAAAGCTGGGGAGCCCTGAGCAGATGGTGACAGCCACTTCTCGGGGACTTTCCAGGACACTAAGCAGCATTGGCAAATGGGGAACTAGGCAGCTGCTGGAAGCCAGGAGGGACCCATCTACCCCCAGGCTGCTCCCTCTTCCGGTTGTCCTGGCTTCTAGGAAGGCAGGAAACCCTTGTTCTCAAGAGGAAGGAAGCTTCTTTTTTTTTTTTTTTTTTTTTTTGAGACAGAGTCTTGCTCTGTCGCCCAGAGCTCGAGTACAATGGCGCGATCTCCGCTCACTGCAAGCTCCGCCTCCTGGGTTCATGCTATTCTCCTGCCTCAGCCTCCGAAGTAGGTGTGACTACAGGCGTCTGCCACCACGCCCAGCTAATTTTTTGTATTTTTAGTAGAGACGGGATTTCACCTTGTTAGCCAGGATGGTCTTGATCTCCTGACCTCGTGATCTGCCCACCTCAGCCTCCCAAGGTGCTGGGATTACAGGTGTGAGCCACCGCGCCCGGCCAGAAGCTTCTTCCTAATGACCCTCCAGGAGGGGAAAAAAAGAGACTTCCAGCCCTACCTGAGTCTGAGTCATGGAAACTGCACAATAGCACCAGGTGAGCTTCCGGAGAGGGAGACCGACATCCTCTAGAGCCTCTGGGCTTGCCTAGAATCTGCCTGCAACGAACCTGGCCTTGGGGAGATCATGGGAACAGCCACAAATTGTAAGGAAGAGTGAAGGAGAACATCCAGGTGCTGGTAGGATGGGCAGGTGGGGACACCATGGTAAATAATCCCTAGAGGTCCCAGAGAGGCTACCCTACACTGCAGCTCCCAAGCCTTCTCCATGTCCTTCATTATATCAGCCAAACAGAAACATTTTGTGATGGGAAATTTTTTTGTTAAAAGGCATCGCTGTGGTTAACAGTAATTTCATATCTTTCCAAAGACAAATACATATTTTTATATCTACAACATAGATATTGTAAATAGTCTGCAATTTACTTCTTCCATTACTGCAGGTGACAGAAGGCTGACTGACTTCTCCTATGAGCTGCTGTGTGTTCCTGGTCTCCGTAATGTTCCTAGACAGGCTGGGGTCACCACCACCCAGCAGGAGTTTTCTTAGGCAGGCAATGGATGGTGATCACCATTTAAAGGGAAGGAAGGAAAAATTAGAGAGTGGGAGGACAGAAAATGGTTGGGCGAGAGAGGTGAGATGTGGCGAGACATGCTTTCTCCTTTTCCTTTAAATCTGATGCGGGACTTTTCAGGAAATTAAACACCGAGACTATTAGCATCGGATAGAAAACAGATGAGTTAAGACATCGCAATACTACAGCAGATTCCCTGGGCAGGCAGAGAGAGGACATGTGTAAGCAATCACTGCAGTATTTCTGGAAAAGACCTTTTATGTTTTTAATACTTAACACTTCATAACAGGGACTAATAGGCAGGATAAAAAGAAGCCTGCTCGAAAGGCAACTTGGGGCATGAATGATTTTCCAGACAACAGAGTGGGGGAGGGAAGCTGCTTGAGCTTCAGGCTCCTCATCCCTCCCACCATCGCCCACCCTCCTCTGCTCACTAGAGTTGTTGAAGGTGGGGAGAAGCCAGCAGGAGGATGGCATGAGGGGATCATTGCTGCATCCCCACGGAAGAGGTTGGGGCCACGTTCCTTCCCCTAATGGTAACCTCCAATTTCTAGCTACTTGAACTACAAAGCACAACTGAGCCTCCCTCACATCTATAATTGCTCATCTATAATTTGGGAGTGGCTATACTCCACCTGCCTGCCTAAGAGAAAACAAGAATCACCTCAAGTTGACCCTCCAAAAGCCACAACGGCACGGATCATCACATGTTTTAAGCAAGAACCCTGGATTTGAGGGCTAGAGGTGCTCCGAGCCCCATCTCTGTTTCCTGTGGCTGTGTCATCCAGGCCAAGGTGCTCAAGCCTTCTGTGTCTCCGTTTCTGCACCTATCAGTTAAGGAATTTGGACAGCCAATGTTTCTCAACTGGTGCTGTCTTGCCATGGGAAGATGGGGTGAGAGCTGTGTGGTGGGCGTTAGATATATTTCAGGACAATTGGCATTGTGGCTCTCCAGGCACTAAATGCAGTAGCAACCACACTCACATTTCCAAATACCTGGGTGGGGGAAACTGCTGCAAAGTAGATAAGCAGGTAAAGAGAACATCTAAGGCACCTCTAGCCACTTCCACACCCACCCGTAGTCTCTCATGCCCAAAGTCCAGGATGCTGTGTGAGGCAGGCTTACCTTCCTGTCATTCATATCGTCCTCTGGACTATTGTATTCACCCTGTGGGAGAAAAAGGGATGCTGGATAAAGCCAATGAAATTACAAGAAACAGGTGCCAAAAGAGAAAGGATTTTCTTTTTTTTTATTTTCTAATATCATTGCTTTTTTTCACTCCCATTTAAGGAAGGTCAAAAGCATGGCATGGTAAGGGGCTGATACTCCATTTTCTTAGCCATCAACACTTGCCACATTTCCTGGGATAACTTCTCACACAAAGATGCGCCCCCCTCATACACTTCAGAGATCAGCCTATGCTCCCTCGTAGCAATGCAATGGCAGAGCTCCAGACCTTAAATGGTTTAGCCCATCATGTGAAAATCACCCGTGCCATGACATGCTCACTCTGTCCATAACTGCAGAACTTAGCAGTGCATACGCCACTGCAAATATGTCAGGAATGAGAAGATTCCCATCAAGAAAATTCCTGCTGGGCAGTCAGGGAGCCCCACCTCAGCAGTCTCACATGGCACTACTGCATGGCAGGTGCCCAAGACCTGACCAGTCTGATGAATAGTGAAGCCATGGAGCATTTAGCTGAAGGACCAGTTACATTCTCATGAGTTGTCTTGAAGAATACCATTGCATTGTGTCATAGGAAGTTCATAACATTATTGTTCATAACATTATCTCCAGTCAAGGAGAGCTTGCATTACAGTCATTCTGTTTTCTTTACTTAACCAAAGCATCGTACAAGGAATTCTGAGAGATTTTCTTCAAAAAAAAATTTGTTTTAAATAATGATCTTTCATTAATATGTACCTGCATGTTAAGGAGGAATTTCACATCTGCACAAAACTCTCATATACAAAATACCACTTTCAGGCAGCCACGGGTCCGACAGCCCAGGTTAGGGATCACCCAGGCCTTTCAGTCTCCTTCCACCACCATCCACCACCCTCACCCATATCTCCTCCCTTTAATCACCTCATGCCACATCTGTATAGTCACACTTTTGCTAAAAACAAAGCCAGGGAGTACAGGGAAAGCTCAGACAAAGCCCAGTGTATTTTGTCTTCTGGGGAAATCATTGGCGAGACAGTTTGAGATGACTGGCAAAAATCAAACTGGGGATTATTGTCAGCAATGAGCAATCCAGGGTCAGCCAAGGTATTTTAATGTCATGATTCACTCCTGCCTCACCCTGCAGGTATTCACCCGTTTCATTGCCACTGAAAAGTTGTGGTTTTCAACGTTCTGAAGACTACAGAGAGCACGCTGTTGAAAATGGTACTTACGTCATGAAGAGGGTAGGCAGCCTCATAAATATTGTTTGCAATCAGAGAGTTAATACCTACGGAAGAAAGGGAGATGAAAATAGTAACTCTGGGGCAGGCATTTCTCAACTTAACCCTTGTTTTTTGATAACTATTAAACTCTCACATGCCCCCCAGCTGAGAATCAGTGCATCCTCCTCTATATCAGCCAGGCTAGAACTTTCTGTCAAGCTCTGGTTCTTAGTACAAGAACAGTATTTTTTCATTCCCTAAATACAAAATGATGTTTTCACATCAAATATGCTGTCTCAAAGTTTACATTCCTCCTATCTTCAAAGATTCCAGTCATTCCAGTCCAATAACCTTCCACCACCGTCAGGTGCGAATCTCTGTGCTCCATGACCACATAGGAATGAATGGCTGTATGGATCATTTTAATCATGATCTATAAAAGTATGTGTGAGAGCATTCGACTGCACTTTGAGCTCCTTCCTGCTGTTTCACAAGGCAGTGTTGGCTGTGACTGATCTGCCGTCTGGACCATAATATCCCTGAGGTGGGCAGGAAGCAATAGGGCAGTGGTTCTCAAAATGTGGTCTGGGGAACCCTGGGAGTCCTCATGAGGCTTTCAGGGGCCCCTGGAGGCAAAACTATTTTTCTAATAGCACTAAGACATTATTTTCTTTCTCACTCTTCTCTCACAAGTGCATAGTGGGGTGTTGTGGCATGTGCTGCCATCATCCCCTGTGGCTAATGGCATGTGTTTGTGTATTCTGGTACTTTCACAATTTCTCAGCCTTAACTTCTCATGCAGTAAACATTGGTCGACAAAGCCATGCAAACACCCTTTGGGTGTTCCCAATAATTTTTAAAAGTGTGAAGTCACCCTGAGACCAAAAAGTTTGAAAACTATGCAAGAGATTTATGTTTTAATTCCAACAGTGTCTCACACCACTTGCACGTAGCAGACCCTACTAAACAAATGTGAAATGAACAAATGGCTCTGTCCCTCCAACTCCATTATACTCACAACAGAGAACCTTCTGCGCAGCATAAAGTCATCGTTATTTACTTGTTTCATTCTTGGTTTTTTTCAGAGACTATAACGTGGTCTGTGTGTTCTGTCTGAGTCGGGATGGTCTGTCCTGGGTCGCTGGCTTCCAGACGGGAGGGATTATGTCTCACCAACTCGTAGTACCAAGGATCCCGCCATACGAGGATCCACATTTAATCATGGAGGGGGAGGAGAGGGGGAGTTTCTGGTACACAATGATTTCCCTTGTCTCGCACTTACTTTCTGCCCTGAACTGTTCTTTCCAAAGAGACTGTAGACTGTAGTGAGATGAGGAGATAATTGGTTTTGGAGGGAAAGATGTATGATGTCCAAATGCTAAGAAATCTGCATTTGCATGGCTCTGAATAAACGCCGAGGTTGGATAACAAATCTAGACAACATTTACTCATTAAAATTCATGGCTTTCCACCTCCCGCTCCTACCCAATGCCCCACCCACAAGCTTAGAGACCGCAGAGGATCTCAGACAATCCTCTCCCCTCCATCAGCCTCCTCTTCCTCAAACCTCGCCCCCATTTGCCACAGTTCCAGGACATTGGATGGCACAAAGACTATTCTCCGGGCCCCACGTGGGAGCGGAGGCCCATGGGAGGCTGCCAGGGACGCCCGGTAGAAGTGGCCGCTCTTCCAATGAGTTGAGAGCTGAGTGTTTTGGTACTGCTGCGTCACCAAAGGGCCCAGTCCTTTCCTGATTTTAAGTTTCCTCCTTGGCATGCACATAAAACATGAGAAATAACTTTGCGGGGTGAGAGGAGCAGAGGGTGGGGAGAGGGAGTGCAGATGGGGGAAGGGTGCCCTGGAGGTTTGCTGAACTGCAGATTTGTCTGACTCACAAGACTACAATTTCACTCCGAGCATCATTAATCAGTTCAAGAGCCATAACCACAGCAACATGAAGCCACCCTACCATAATCAAAGGGAGGAGTCCCAAGCCGGGAGGGGAGTTTGTGGGAGTTTGTAGTTAAAAAATACAAAGTGCTGTACGCCTGGATAGAGGCTGAAGCATGACAGGCGGGTAAGGCCCCAGCTAGACCACACCCCAGAACCTACCCAACCCAATCCCTACAGTCACACCCCATGGTTGCCGTGGCAGCTGTATATACCCTGAAGACAGTCCCAAAACTCCAAGGAGAAGTCCAGCAGGTGTTTCACCTACTTAGCTCTTCTGCTAATTCTCAGCTTGACTTTGCACGGTAGCCGAGTGTCTGGAAGCATTAAGCCATTAGACCAATAACCTGAACTCCTGGTCCCAGCTGCCAGATCCTCAGAAATGTCTCAAATTATTGGGACACTAAAGCTATGCACCCTAATCCCCATCTCAAATAAAGCTTCCTGTGCACAGTGCAGCTGGAAGTGGGCAGCTTGCTTCACTTCCAGGACAAGGTTTGCTCATTGTTTTGTGTTCCCCAGAGGCCTGACCTGGGTCAGAGAGCACTCCTCTCACCTGTGTGTCTCACAGCACTTAGCTCACGGCTGGAAACACAGAAGAGATGGCAGCCCTAACAGTCACCGGCCCTGTGGCTGCAGTTATCTCAGTACTCCTCTTGTTCATCGCCTTCCTCACTGCTTCATTGAGCATTCTGTGCTCATGAAGAAACTTTTAAACTCCAGCTGATTGTTCTGTCTCCTAAGACAGAAAGTCAAGGTAAAAGGTCCTTTGCTTTGGAGCAGACTCAAGTTATAAAACCAGAGTTGTCCTAACTCAGATAACCACAGCCCCCAAAATGCTGCAACTGGATGTTTCTCTGCTCCCTCTAGCTGTGTACTCCCTACTTTTCAGGTGGTATCCTATGGGTGATCCCAATCAGTGGCTGCTAGGGGAAAGGAGAAGAAAGTACATTTGAGGAGGAGGAATGGGGCGGGAGAGGCATGCTGAAATTTAAGCATTCATCCACAACTTTACCCAACAACAGGGATTCCTTTGGCCTCCCGGTTCACCCACAGACTTTAGAAACCAAGATTCTACCCCCAAACAAGCATGGAAATCAGTTTAAAACAAGAAGAAAATAATCAAACGTTTTTTAAAAAGAGTCCCTGCTTTGAAAATTGAAATTCTGATTTTTTTCTTTCTTTTCAGCAAAAATGGGCTAATTGGTTCCATCATGCGCCATCCATCTGGCCATAATGGCAAAGTTTTCTTCTTCAGGATTGCATCTATATTCTTTCCTCTCAGCTCTAGACCCAGGGAGAGACAGAGAGACCCAACCTTTTGTCCTATTACTTTCAGGATGGGGGACAGTGAGAAGGAGAAAGCGCTGAGGACATTTTCCCTTCCCTGTCTTCCTTAAGAGGAACAATGTCTCAGCTCAAAGTATAGCCCCTGAGGAGCCCCTCACTGATCCTCAAAGTCGACGTGCCCATGTCCCCTTCAAATCACCAGGTACTTCATGCCTAGTGTTTAGAACTAAAAACTTCCAAAGGAAAAGGCTCATGTTTCCTCCCTGCCCAGCATGGACCACATGTTTGTGCAGCCTGACACAACCAGGCCTAGCACCACAGTCCCACATCCACAGGGGCAGGGCCAAGAAACATGACTGGGGTGGGCTTAGGACTCGGCACCGGTACCTGAAAACACACATTCGTCATACAAAGCTGAGACCTAGCACTGAGCTTCATAGACATATCTGATTTCCTGGACACAAAGGAACAACCAAAGCGCAGAAGTTTATGGTCTACCTCCCAAAGAGAGTCTCATTAAATCTACAAGTGCTGCTCGGTGACAGGGACTGCAGTGCTATTCCCTCCAGGCCAAACTCAAAGGAAACTTTTATCCACCGGGACAGGTACTTAGAGGAATGGGTGCCATACTCCTGAAAACCCATTTGGTTTTGATTCTCCCAAGAACAGGGCCCAGTCCGCCTGGCATTGTGCTTTCATCCCTGCACTCCAGCCGGACGTAAATCTAAACCAGAGCTCCCAGACGGTGCATTTAACAGAGACTATATTTACCCATCACCAAATTGTCTTGACGTGTGCTTAATTACTTAAATGCCTTTAATCCCAAGCCTTTTCTTCTAAGAAAATGTAAACCAGTTCAGCTGGATGAATGATAAACCAGATGTTTACAACACACAACACGGTCTGGCTTTGGTCAAAATAATTAAGACATTGTCTCCTGAGTGGGGAGGGGAGGTGTCCAAAGCATACATTTGTTTAAAGGCTCTGACACCAAAATGTCCATGAAAATATAGTTCCATCAACCTGTAATTTTCTGTCCATGAAAAAGCAACAGTAACTTTCATATGAAGGAGCAAGAAAGGTGTTTACCCTCCTCTGATAAGGTCAGTGAGGCTTGAGTTTCTTTCCATGGCAAACTGCACTAGAAAGTTATTCAATAGTAAAGTCAACTCCCAGGGCTCTCATAACTGGCTCTCATCTTGGGAAAGATGACATTGATTAAGGAGGCATCCTGATCACTCACACACTTCCACCACCATGCAGTACCCAAACTCACAAATATTTTCAGTCTCCGAATGTGGTGGGCATTAATCCATAATCTCGCACTTTCAGGAGTAAATAAGAGGGAAAGGTCGAGTTGTTCCTCTTGAAGTTATGAAAAAATTCTAAAAAGTTTGATCATTAGTCCACCCACACTTTTTTAAGGTCAGCTCCTCCTGCTTTGTCCTTTTATACTAATTTTAAACATCACCCCCCATAAGAGAGAAAGAGAAGGGAAGGAAAGGGTAAGGGAGGGGAAGGGGAGGGGAAGCCAGGGAAGGGCAGGGAAAATGGTGCAGGGTAGGGCAGGGGAGTGGAGGGGAGGCAGGGCAGAGCAGGAGAGGGAAGGGAAGGGGAGGGAAGAAAAGGGAAGGAAAGGGAAGGGAAGGGGGAAGTGGAAGGGGAAGAGAGGGGAAAGGAGGGAAGGACAGGGCAGGGGAAAGAAAGGAGAGGAAGGAAGGAAGGGAGGAAGGAAAAAAGGAAGGGAGAAAGGAAGGAAGGAACGAGGAAGGGAGAGAAAGAAGAAAGGAAGGAAGGAAAGAGAAAGGAAAGAAGGAAAGAGAAA